CCCCCCTCGCCCCTTGCAATTTTAGTTCCCTAATCTTCTTTTTTTTATTGCTGAAGACCGGTTCATGCCACAGCAGCAATATCTGCCGTGCAGATACTCTGTGCCCTGTGCCGTTACCCCCCCCCAGCCTGCGTAGCTGAAGGGGAAACCCGGCGATTTTATGTCTAGTTGGACCGGTAGCCCAAAGGCAGAGACATCCTCAGATGAGGAGAAATAATCCCAAATTCAGTCCTGAATTGACAAGTCAGAGGTTCATTCAGATGTCTTCATTTGGTGGACTTCTAAGCCTCCCTCTCAGCAAAGTTTCTGGGAGAAGTGTCATTGCAAGATGGGGGTGCAATATTTCAAGGGGGCTTGTGTGGGGTGAGACCCTTGCTGGGCAGGCAGCGGGACAGGCTCCCACATACCGTGGTTTCTCTTTGGTGCCTGGTGCAGTGTGACCCCTGGGACACAAGGGCGATTAAATCCAAATAATAATAATACTGATAATAATAGTAATAAATTCTAAAAGTTTTAAAGTGGATTTTTAAAAAGTCTGTGAAGTCTAAGAAATTAAGAGGATTCCCCACCCAACAGGCAAAGTCTCCTCTGGTCCCTGTTGCCCTCTCTGACAGGAATGATGGCCACGTAGAGACAAATCCAAGGAGGAAACCTCACTGGTTATGTCTCTCATGTGATTTAAAATTTCAAATCAATCCTCATGTGTGGCAGGATTGCAGGTTATCGCTGACTTTCTGTGAAATAGTATTGATACTGGATTTTATGCATCTGTGGATATAAATATATGAATGCCTGTCTTTTTGTGAATATATCAGGATAGAAAAAATACATGTTCACACCTGTGCATATTTGCAAGTGAAGACGTTATCAGAGGAGTTAGAGGGCCTGTCTGTATCTCCATCCCGCCCCCCTCAATAATGTTAGAAGCTACGAAATTGCAACCTCCCATAAAAAAACAAAAAAAAATCCAAACAAATAAAAACACAAATAAACAAAACCCAAAAAAATCCCCCAAACCAAAACACTGTCCCGTACTAACATTACTGACCCTCCAAATCACTAACCAACCCATTAGAACATTTTAAGTTATGTGATTGAAATCGTGCGAATTTTCCCCTCCACAAAGCAAATCCGGTATTTTCTCACAATTCGTGTACCAACAAAGGACCTCAAGTTAATCCATACATAACAACAAAAGGTCATTTCTGAAATTAGGAAATAATCACAGAGCCTGAGCTAGTGTGTTTTCAAATAGACCCCCGTATTTCACTTGCATCTTGGTGAAGGGAGAGAAATCCACCTTCTCTCCAACAAACCTTATGGCAAAGATATTTTCACGGGGAGAAAAAAACTATCACATTAAGCAGAGTCCCTAACCTACATTTTTTTTCTTATTTGTTTTTAGAAGCACTGCTCAGCCACACAGATCTTTTCCCTGACAACACATCCATTTTAATATTATAGTACAGCAATCTTGCAAATTGTTCTGAGCTGTTTTGCTAACAGCATACAGGACGGAAAAGGTAATTTTCAGTTAGCAAAGGCAGCCATCTTATGCACTGTTTAAGGCTTGGAACAGCAACAAAAAAGGAATTGAAAACAGTGAAACAGCAGGAGTAATTTTATCATCTATCAAACATTTTGGTAGTAAGTTCAGTGGTTAATTAAACACTACAAAGAGTCAAACTGTAAAGAACATAGTATTGTAATTTCCTA